GCACTAAAAAAGACGTCGAGTGCAACTCTCTGCAACAACGATGGAATTTAGATGAAGTGGTGGCTCAGAAATCTGGTACCGTAACCGGGCGATTTTACAAGGATTTGCTCCGTCGAGATGAGAAGGCGTTCTGGGATACATTCGCCTTGGCCACAGCAATTTTCGCTGGACAGTGCCTGGTAAGTTTCTAAAACCTATGCCAAGAACTAGGGCATTTCCACCATGGAGCTTCATGTCGCATTACAGAGACGTGGTTGAACGGATTTTGGGCCTTTTCAATGTTTTTTTAGAAGTTTCGGATCTTTCCAGTTAGGAGGGGCATTGCGGTGCACAGTCTGCTCTAATGCCAGTTTGGCTCAAGGAGTCCTTTAAAGTTACGAAGTGCTATCAGCTTTTTCCTACGTTGTTTCTTCTGGTTTTTGTATAATGTATGTATTCTGTGCTTTATAACATAAACAATGAAAAGTAATATTTACCTAGTGAGCACATAGGACTAAGCCCAGAAAGGGCGAGAAAGGCCACCGAGAAAGCAGAGATTGCTCACGAATCCGAAGTTTTCTCCCTTCTGAGGCTTACCATTAGTCCTATTCTTTACACTGAGAGATTATTCTCGGTTCTTTTATCCGTGATTTGAACAAGTGGAGCGCTCTAAACCGCATGCCCCCCTAACTGGAATAGACCCGACGTTTCTTATGCTTAGCGACTCATGGTCAGTCCTGGTAAAACTTATTCATCCCATTCAAGAAAATGAAGTAAGTAGTTGAGAAGCCTACAAAAACGTATTTAGTTACTCGGTTGTATCGCATTCTTCTCGTGGTGCCTGTATCTCTGCTTTCGCAAGAACCTTGTCACATCTCTTCATGATCTCTATTTCAATCACAATGTTTACTATACGATAAATAGCATCGAAGACCAAGGAATCGATAACCCGTGAGTACACTTTTCTACTTAATTCTTTTATGATTTTATTAAATTATTTATTACCTAATTATTCATATATTTTGCTAGCCTTGTGTGGCCTCGTCGTACAATCGCAGTAGAACTCACAAGAAAATTCCAATTTTTCTCACTGTTTTCCCATTATCATTCTATTCGTACTTCTTGTCTTATTTCTGAACAAAACGGCACATCATTTCAATCGTGACCGGTGCCTTTAACTCACTGGAGCGACTATTTCTTCTGTATGAAGCAGTTCGATTCGCAATTGCAGAGCAGCTCCTCTTCAACAAGTCAAAACTGCGAAAGTCCGAATCAAAATGCAAAAGGCAGTGGACTGCGTAGGAGTCTATT